GTTAATTCACTTTGTGCGTATCCAAGAGAGGAATTTAGTACTAGCAGAATGAGGGAGTCTAAAGATTCGAACTGAAGCATAATCAGCACTTTGAACAGAGACTCCTCTCCCTTCTGAGGCGTAACGTAAACCACCTGTGCTGCTGGCACCCCACCGAAATCAGTGGAGTGTGGTCTGCACTGAGAATTTTCAGCAAAAGTCAAGATTTTGAGTGAAAAATTCAGAAAAATAATAAGTCAGGTAAGACAGTATCATGGACTGAATATCCAAATATGCTTTTTACCCCCCGCAAAAAAGTTTTAGTTTTCGTATTACAAAAACATATTTATGCTGCTGAAATTCTATTTGGAAATTCACACTCCATAGTATGAGTATAAATACAATAATTTTGCCCTATTTATTTTACAGGTCTTATCCTTTGGTATTTTTATTCATACAGTATGCTATATTCCTAATATTTGTGGTGAACATATATTTGCACCTATCTCTCTTAAAAGAGATAATTATCTAGATATAGATCTACATCTACATAGCAACTTTTTTGCTGCTTTTCTATTATATATTTTTAAGATGTATAGCTTGTTCCTCAGATGGATTTTTTTTGCAAGTTGGCTCCTTTTTTTTTTTTTATTTCATTACTCAGATTACTTGACTCTCCCTTCTTCCCCCTGCAGGAACAAATCAAGCTTTTTAACAACTGGAAAAAATGCTTGAAAACTTAGAGGTGTTCAGTAAAGCTGATTCTCAGAGCTCTCGTGGAACATGTTTGCAAATTGAATCCCTTAGTTGAGATGATATGTGCTCCAGTCCTACCTACCATCCATAAATCTAATGCTAATGAAAACTATCATATTCAGAACTGAATGTATCATTTTCCCAAGCTTTTCTAAAATACTGCTGTTTGCTGATGGCTACTGGCAGATTTTATAACCTCTTTTAACCTCAGAAAGGCTATTTAATTTCCTCTCAGCAATGATGAAGTTTCTGTTAGTTCTTGCTCTATGCTCTAAGCTCAGCTTTGAAAACATTCTTTTACCAAAATAACAAAACAATAGGCAGCAATAGTAAAATAGAACCATATACACTGTACCATTGCCAATATAGTGTTAAGACTGAATTTGCTAGGGCTGAATCTAAAGATCCTTTGTTGATGCACTACACCTGTGAGCAATTCCTGAGTAAAGACTATGGGATGACAAATTTGGACGTAGGTGCTACAATGCATTTGTTGTGGCTGCATGTTGTACCTGTATCGAGGCCCACTGAAGTCAGCATGACTCTGAGCACAGCTAGAAGCCTGCCCAAAGAGAGCTCATTGCAGGGCTGTGGCACTGACCAGATACACAGTGAAAGCTGCAGTAAGGACCAGACCTGTTCAGAGATCCCTTGCTTAAGTGATTGTTTACGTGTATCTTTAAGGTTCCTAAGACAAGTTCATTTCACTATAGTTAAAGCTACCTCTGCTAGGCAAAAAAGTTTTGCTTGTGCTTTAGATAGTCACTTAAGACAGGCTTCACTGTGTAAATTTCTGTGTGCATGTGTACAAGCTGTCTTCATTTATCATGATAAACAGGTATCTTCTGTGTACGGATGCAGCGTTTACAAAAAGGACATTGATTATCATAGATACAGAGAAAGCAGAAGACAATGCCCTTGCCTCTCACTTTTTAATAAAAGAATATATCAGCTGAGAGCCATATCACATACCCAACAAAACCTGCCATCTCTGCTATTTGATTTACAGCCCTCATTCTTCCTTTTTTAGTCAATTAGAATAACACTGTTTATAAACCCTCAAGAAGGAATTTCTTGAAAGCCTACGTTTGGTTTGTTTCTATTGTTCCATAGGTTCTTTGGCAGCTGATGGCTTGGTTTCATCATTTATAGAACTAAAACTTCATTCTAAGTTTTTGTTTGTTTTTGTCTTTAAATTATGGTGTGCAGAAGGACAGCCTTTTCCTGCTATATTTCCAAAAAAAAAAGATATTGTCTCTTTAATGAAAGAAAAACATCAATATAATGTATTACCAAATGTAAATGCAATAAGAAATAACATATAGCTCTGGTTATGTTATATGACATTTGGCTTAGCAGTATTAACATATTGCACAAAATCTGCTTTTTCCCTATTGCAGAAAATAAGATGATAAAAGACATGGGAAATATCTCTATTCCATAGGATTGTTAAACATATTCTCTTTTTCTCTTTTCCTTTTCATCAGTCATTTTCAGAAATATTTTAATATTACTTGTTTGTTAAGCCAGTTCTTTATCATGTATGTATTAGGCATACAGTACAAGGAGAAATGGAACAAGATGGCAGTTATAGCAGTGGCAAGATGCAAATTTATTCTGGCAAAAAAGTAATATGTGCACAATATCAAGCATGCTTAAGTTTGTGCCGGGAAAACTATTACGAATGAGAAATGGATGAAATGAAATTTTGCATCATACATGATTACGTGTTGCTTAACTTCACAGAAGAGTCTTTGACTACTCCTCATTTCCCAGGTGCCACCAAGAGAAGCTGCATACCACACTGCTGGAGTCAAAATGGCAACAGACACCCAGCAGCAGCAAACTCTGGAACATGACTCTTTGTTTTAGAAATGAAAGAAACAGATTTCAAAAAGATGACAGAAAATTCACAGACCATTGAACTGCAGGCATTGACTTTGGGTGGGGAGGGGGAGGGGAGGAATTTATTACATCTTATACTTAATAATTAGAATTCTGTAATTGCTTCCTGTTTCATTCTGCCCATCTTTAATGTGGCTACTTCATGCATGTGATGATGTTGTCTCTGTTTTTCCTCATGTCTCTTTCTCATATGTTGTATGACCTGTGAGTGAGTGTAGCCAAGCAGTGGAGGAGTCGTATTTTTCACTGACACCACTTGAAAACATTTGATAGAAAAATAAGGGATGAAGGATGAGAAAGAGCAGGAGAGAAAAATAAAATATCTTAAAGAGCTCTCTACATTCGTTCACCATGAGGCAAAACAGAAACAATGATTCTTCTTCATGCGCCAATTGAGTTGGGAGGAACCAGACTTGCTACTGTATTGGTACAGTGTAAAAATAGATGACACTGTGTAATGACATGAACAAAAAAATATGTGGAACATTACAGAAATGGATGTTGGATGGCCTTTGCACAGCAGAGGTAGATAAAGGTTATAACAAACTGTTTACTGACCATACAAACTTACTAGAATTAAGAGGTCAGTTGAACAAGAGCTCACCTAGTAAGAGCTTTCTCAGTAGTGTGACTTATCAGCTGTTGTACAGTAAGAGAACACTGCCCAGTTATTGCTCCATCCACTTTTCAATAACATCTCTGTCCTTTCAAAAGTCTACATTCTACCATTTGTTAAGGCTTTTTCATTTACAATTCTACATTTTTCCAGCTTTTTGCATCAATTCAATATAATTAATACATGTACCTCTAACAGAAAATAAAATAACTAAAAAGCACCATGGTTTATTGAGTAAAATATAGCATGTGCAAGGAAGAGAAGGGAAAAAATAAAGAAACAAACCAGTGCTGAAGAATTTTGCATTAGTTGGTGCTTTTTGTTGTCATATTTGCACAGATCATTTTAGGCTCCTCAGTCTGGTTTCTATTAAAACACTATCAAAATAAATACTCTTGCAAAATATTTGAGCTTTCACAGATTAACATGTGCATCTTGAACTGCTTAAGCAGTATGATTATCTTCTCCTTTTTTTTTCCCTCCAGAATTTGACAGACCATAAAGTGTACAAAAACACATATTATGCACCAGCGATTAAATGTTCTTACAACATTAATATTTATCAAGGGGTATTTCATAGCTAGAAAGTAGGTAACTATTTTATTTCGTAAGAGAACATTTCCTATAGTTTTCCTTCATCTCCCAGCTACACAGCAAACATCTCTAAAGTGCACTTCCCAAGTGTAGTTAGAGAATAGGAAGGAATGTAAAGTTTTTAAAAACAGCCCTTATTAACTTTTCCTTCCATTAATTCTACTGTAAACTCTAAAAAGCCTTTTTAAAAAGCAAATTCTCATACACTCAGCAGGTGAAATGTTCCCACAAAAATAAAATCAAACAAAATAAAAACTACTTCAAACGATGAAAAATCAGCAATCAGATTGCAATCTTTTCTCTCGACTCCTTATACCCTAATATATTCTTTACTGTTTTATTGCACATTTATGAAAACGGTTGTCCTAAATATTTAAAACAAAATAGTTTCTTTATCTGTGCTAACACATTCTTGTGCACCCTTAATAACTAGAGTAACTTCCAACAACATGTATATATTAGAAAAAACAATGGAATCAAAATCAGATAGCTACTTTATGTTGTAGATGCTCAAAGGCTTCTAGTGTAATTTTGCTGAGACAAAAAGACTTGACTTTTGGAAGCTCTTTGCTCCCATTCCTTATGAAAAGCTGCTGGTTATGTGACAGCAGGAGAAACTCAAAACGTAATTCACAATGAATGCCAATCCTTTACCTCCAATATGAAGGCTTCCCAACTATTCAACTTGCTGAGCATAACTGGTTTTACATCTTGTATCTCAAAAAGGCTGCTCCTGTTCAACTGACCAGTGAGAAAGGACTGGACTTCTTCAAAATGGGTATTGGAACAACAGTTTGTTATATATTTCTTCACATAAACATTTTTTTAACTGTCCGATCCCACCTTGTAAGGAGAGCACTTGTTTGTTCAACTAAAAGGAACCCTTCATGCTCCTTTTGGGTTTGCTCAGTCAACTGGTTTGTGCAACAGTGGCAGAGGCACACTGGAATTGTGTACCCATTCATTGTGATTACACAGACAGAAGCAAATGTATGTTGTCTGCTCAGGGACATGAGGAGGGGAAAGGAGATGAATGGTTCCCATGGGTAAGAGGACAGTTAGGTTGGTTTGGGTTTTTTTGTTTTTTTTTTTCATTTTTCTTTTTTTGTTTTTTTTTGTATTTTGTTTTGTTGCTTTTTTTTGTTTTCATTTTATTTTTTTATTTTTTATTTTTTTGCTATGTCATGGAATCATAGCAGTCATTCCTCTAATAGAAACTGACAGGACATAAAAGACAGAACTATCAGATGAACACACACAATGACTAGAAATATATCGACAGAGAAAAGACTTAATTTAGCTCTGAGAAACGGTCCCAAAAATAAAATCCTGTATTAACAAGTGCAAAAAACAAACAAAAAAGAAACTCCAAACATTAAAACACAGTGTATAAAATGGTGTGAGAAATTTAAGTCATCAAACAGCCTTTTAGTCAATAAAAAGCTGTGTTCATGTGTCCTTGTTGTTCGGGTAGAGGCCCAATCTTTTCTTTTTTCCCAAAAGGTCATTCAAGAAGAGATCTGAGGGTAAAGCACTCAGTACTTGTTATATTAGACTGTAGTCCTTTGGGCCTTTTGTGTTTCTACCATATAAGATGAATCCTTTCTTTTATTCCTCACTGGTTGAATTATCTTCCAAAGTTGTTATGCCTCCAAAGCCCAGTCCTGTTGAGTTCTGTGCTGCTGAGACTGTAAGTACTGTATGTAGGAGAATTAATACAAGAACACACAGTTTAAGTCTGCTGTTACACAGTCTTGATGCTGATGAAACTGTGAGTGATGTCCTGTGACACATTGTTGAGCCACTTGTTTTTATAGTCCCTTTGGATTGATGATCTGATAATAGTCCCCATCTGACATCACAGCATTCTGGTTCTGCATTGGTTGGATAGTTTTCATAGAGCCCTGTAGGGTAAACACAATCAAAAATTAACGTCATGCAGAATAAGGTTTGCAGACCTTGGCAGTTCAAAGGAAATGAACGTTTTTAGGCTAAAGTATCGGATCTCAATCTCTGCGTTAGCTTGAGGCCTGCAAAATACGTGTCTTTTTTGCATGATAAGAATTGTTGAAGGGATACATTTAGTCTAACACAAAGGAAAAACATGAAGTTGCATCAAAAGATCATTCAACAGAAGTATGAACCTGAGTGTGATTGTGGAAAGATATGAAGTTACAAGACAGCTATTGTGTTCCTCCATCAGCAAAACTGATATTTAAACTTCTCCTTTCTTTGGATGAACCAAATAGCAAGTAACCAGAATGGACATTGTCACAAAATTTGAAAAGATCTTATTGAAATTATTCCTCAGTCTGTGAGCACATACTCATAATAACACTGTCCATGAAAAGACTGACGTTAAAGATAAAATCAGTTGTTGTTAGATCAGCACAGATCCAACAATTTCACAGGAAAACTCTGCAAACACAGCTATTCAGAGTTTACTTGTTTACCCTATTTTAACTAAGTTTCTCTGACTGAGGTGTTCTCTTCTGTATATCCTGGAGGTGAGAACAATCTTTCTTTCTTGTACAATAATTAGGTCTCTTGATATTTCTTAGTGTACAGCTAGGTCATTTCTGCCCTTGGAACTTCATCAAATTACTCAGTCTGATCCAGTTACGTATTTTGGAGTAGTTAAAGGAATTCCATTTTTTCCAAAAGATGCAATCATCTTTTTGGAAATTATCAATTCTGCCTGCATTAGTACACGTGAAAGTAATATAGTCAATGTTCTGTTTACTTCTCCTATATCTTCTTTAAAGACAAATTAAAAGAACCTAATTTAGCATGCTTAATTAAAGGTCAAATGCAAGAATGCCCAACTTAATGGACAAATATCTTTTCTCCATTTAAACTGATGCTGGGATAAATTTTGCAGTAAATGCTTACTCTATGATAGTGATAGGTTTTACATGAAAGTGACCTATCTATCTGTGTTGAAATATTCGGATCAGGATTTTGAAAGAAACTACACAATGGATATAATTTTTGAATTGACTTTGTGTTTAGGAAGAAGAACTAGACTTTTTCTAAAGCATCCTGGTAATCATACTAATTTGAAAAAACAATGCCTACCACTTTAGGCATAAGATTCTTAGGTCCAGGAATCACATTGCTTGCACTTTGTAAATACCTTGTAAAGGAGACCAGTACACCTTAAATAAGGTAAAACTGAGCTCTTTCATTCCAATTTCTATAACATTGATCTGCAATCAAAATAAAAGTGTATTGAGTATATTGAGTATATTAAAATGCAGATTAAAAGCAGACAAGCACTTTTTTACGTATTTGAATAATCTCCACAACAGTCTATTATTTTATATATAAGTCAAAAAAAAGTTTCATTTCTTTTTGCATCTGATAAAGATTTTAAAGGTTCAGAAAGGAGAACTGCTTCTTTGATATCCTGGAAAGCCAGGATTTTACTCTACAGGAAATCATGCCATTTTAATAGCTATGCTGTCAGGCACTTAATGCTGGGTACCAACACTTGCCAGTGATTTATTCTCTCTCAGACCATCGCTAAATGTGTTTCATTTTTTTTTAAGAAATTCTATTACATTTTGGGAGTGGCTGTAAATTATTTACTCTAAATATCATAAAGCAGTCTTATTGCTAACTTCTTATTTTTTGCGCCCCATCTCTTGGTGTTTGAGTGTTTGTAAGTGTAAGTGAATTTTTTGGCATCATAACATAGAGGAAATACCCACCAAAGTAGGTAATTGTACGTTCTGTTCTGTGACTGTAGTAGCTCAAATTGTTAGCAGTAATTGAAGAGACACAGAAAATGGTTAATACTTTGATCCTATCGAGGCTTGCTTACTGTTCAGACTATATTTCCTGCCTTTCTCATTATAGGACAACCCAGACTTCCTTTGAAATCAAAGTACATGTATATACAATTTAGCAATCAAAAGGTATTTAAATTGTTCATATGCACTTAATGAGTTAGAAATAAATTCAATACAACTCCATAGTCAAAGCTGCATTGAGCTTATTCCTTACTGCAAAATTAAATTTCCTCAGTACTTAATTTGGCAATTGAATGTAGTCTCTGAATTTACAGTTACGTATTTAATAATTAATTAACTAATGAACCACTCTTCATATGAGGGTTGCAGAAGATTTAGTAATTTAGTTATAACTTTTGCACTGAAATAATAAAACTTCACTATTACATTTCACTCCTATACTCTTTTTGTAGCCATAACTATCACTTTTGGCACCCTGGAGTTAATCGGTTAGCCTATAATGTCAAAAGGTTACAAAGATATGACTTTATCAGAGGCCCTGGAAAGCTAAATACATTAGTCTTGGAAAATGGAGGCGGAAAAAAAAAATCTTCTAATCAAGCTTTCTGTACTGGCACACAGTTTGGGGCAAGGAATAAAAAGGATATCTTTATCCAGCCAGCCACCAACACCCACCTTTTCTCCTTCTGTCCTTACAGTTCAGCTTGTAGATGCCATTACTCTGTACTGCTTGGGTGTTTATTAATTATATTTCTGAGACTGACTATTGTTCCTGACTGGAATCCTACTTTGCTTTTCACATGTTTCACTTAAAATTCTTACTCCATAAGCTCTGGATACTCATTCTCCCAGTTTTCCCAACCCTCTCTTATATTTCACCAGATAGGATCTTAATGCATTTCAAGGATCTTGGATCTTAATCTTAATCAAGGATCTAGAATTTGCAAGATTCATTGCAATCTATCAAACCACTCTACAGGTAGATATGCCCTATCATGAAGGTCATGTAAAAGCAATCTCTTGGCTGTAACCAGATACCTTTTCCACATGCAGGTAACATTTTGATCAGCAGCAAGCCGGCATATCTATAGGGAGTGTGTGTTGCTACTGCTGATAAAAGAATTAACGCTACTCATTTGATTGAGATTGAGTTAATCAAGACATAACTGCAGATAAATTCCATGTATCCCACTCAGCTGAATCATACAGAAAGGAAAAGGGATGACAGCATGAATATGAGGTTTGGGGAAAAAGCAAAAAACTACAAATGTATTCTTATAAGGGAATGAAAAATGTAAGGGGGATCATGCATGGTCTGCTGACCAGCTAGATTACCAGCTAACTCAGACAGTGCTGCAGTTTCTGAACCAGTCATATCCTTGCATTTCTTTTGCATAGAAACTAGCATCCAAAAGGAGTTGCTTCATTTGTAGGTCTCACTCCAGTGCAGTCAGGATGTGAGTCAGGATGCACGTTGCTGGATCTGTCAGTTGATCTGGGTTTGACCACTTCTTGGTTTCTTTGGTACAGAAGGAACCATGGAGCCATAGTAATCTTCCAGTCACCATCAAAGGAAACTGGTCTGGTTGATATTTTGGTTGTCGCAATTTGAGTAATAAATATTTTAGAAAGTCTTAGCAGTAAAAGGGATTTTTAGTGTTTTCCTTTTTTTTTTCCTCTCATTTTCTTTCTCTGTAACACTAAACTATAGTCCTTTTTACATAAGGTTTTGATTTATTTTGAGATATATACCAAGCTTCTTGGCTTGAAAAAAAGAATATGAAGACAAAGAAAAATCCAGGTAAGTGGATTCTTTAGTGTACCTGAAGTTTTGAGTACTCCATTTTTTTATTAAGCACAAGGTAAATGATGTCTGCCAAGAATGATCCATCTAGAATGACATCATTGTAGCAGAGAATGCCGACTTGCTGTATGACGTTTCTCTTTCTGAGGAATTATTTCTGAGAGTTCAATATTAGCATTTTCTGACTACAGAAGGCGAGAAAACACATTAGATGTTACATGACTAGATTTCACTGCTTTCTTAAATCCGATTTGGAAGCCTGCTCTCTTTGGTCTTATCCAGATGATTGTCTCAATTTTTAAGTTGCTGTGCCTGTGACACATTATGATGCTTCTGTTTAGACATATATTTTATATTCTTCACATTATAAAAAGTAGTAAAATGAAACATAGAAGAAGGATTAAAGATAAATAAGTTATCCTTTAGTCAAAGAGATTATTCTTAAACTGGTGAAGAATGCTGTTTAGCTCTTTTAAAATGTTGATTCACATTTCAGACTCTGTATCTATTACAAGCTTGTTGGAGGAGATCTGGGTTGCTGTATTTAAATTTTATTTTATCACTATGTATTGGAGACTGTTTCAGGTAGCTGCCTCTGGAGTAGTTTCTTGAGTATATTTGTACACATTCAAGAAAAATTCACCATGTTTCTTCACCATATCTACATTATTTTCCTAAAATATGTACAGGACCAGTTCCCCCCTGCTTGTGTAAATCAGTGTTATACCCATGAAACCAGCTGCGAGACAGAAAAATAAGTAGCTAACCCTCAAGGTTACACAATGGGCTTTTTTAGGTCTGTGCTATGTTGAGATAGAAAGAAAGGCTCACACAGTTTGTTTCTAACAAGCATTTGGCTTTCTCCACCTTCCTCCAGTTTTAATTCTATGGCTGTTGATGAAAGGACATGATAGGAAAGGAAAAGGTCATATGTATTATAGGCATTGTGTTGCCTTAGAAAGTTCAGGGACATCGATAGGTTAATTGCCTGCATTGTTTTTAATGAAGAAGAATGAGTTTGCAGCTATGCCATGGGAATTCCGTCATGGGAAAGCCCCAACATTCAAGTTTCTAGATGAAGACTGGATTCAAAAGGATGAGTTACTGAGTTGGCAGATTCTACTGCAAAGCCATGTCAAATTTTCCTTGTAAGCAGATCCATAGCTAGGAACAATTTAAGTCATGCTTGTCAAACATAAATGGGATTTGTCCTGCTCTCTGTGTTAGCTTAACGCTCTGATATTTTAGGACTTACTAAGAGGTGTAGGCAGGAGGCAAATGACACATTATTATGGGTTATTTTTAGGGTCAGAACTTGTATCAGGTATATATATATTTTGGAGTG